CCCCCCCCCCTTTTTTTTTTCAGCCAGCACAGCATAATTGAAGCTCAGGAAATATTTGATTGAGATCACAGGGGTTTCAGTCTCCGGCAGTGATTATTCGGTAGACGCTTCATGCTTGACTTAGTACATACTGATAAACTACTAGTCCAGCATACGGAAACTGAATAGAACAATCTCATTTTTCCATGGTTATATATTTAATCTGCTCTTTCTTGTATTATGTACTCTGTAAATTATTTAATGTAAAATGATTTATGCTGAGCCACTTATCATTGAATTTCCTCGCATTCTGGTTTCTGTGGATAGTAAGCAAGAAACTAAAACAAGCTGGTATATCAGAAGGGGTGAGTCCACTCTTGTTTATCCAAGGCTAAAAAAAGAGAAGTGCAGTGTTTGTGAAGAAAGTTTATTAATTAAAGAAATAGATATGTTCATTACCATGTAATTCCATTGGCCTGCCAATCCAAAGTTTTATCTTGTAATCGGTCACTTAAAATATATATTCCATTTTAAAATAGTCTAAATGCTTGACTTCAGTGCATTATCTGATGCTACTTATCAGTTTACAAGACTAACGATCCATCTACAATTTATTGTGCGGACAGGTTATTTCCTCTTTAGTGTTGTACATAGGCTTGCTCAGTTGGTAAAATCACCCCCACCCACGACTTTTAGGTCCTGGGTTCGAGTCACATTGGAGGGGAAGTGTGGAAAGGAAACATTATAGATCTTCCTAGTTTGGGAGGAATTTTTTAAAAAAATGTGACATCCAGTAGACCAGTATGATGAGTTTGAATAGTGGGGGCAGCGTCACCTGATACCGGTTACACTATTTAGTACAGTGGCGGACCAAAATATTTTTAAGTCGGGAGTGCTCAACCGCCTTAAATCTCAGAGGGCTACTTTGAGATTTGGTGCTCGGCCAATATCTTTGTATGTTATTAGTAGCTTCCACTGTAAAAATATACTGTTTAGGTCCGCCATTGATTAGTCTATTGTAAACTAAACCAGACACCATGTTTTCCTGGAGAAACTAATTTTAAGTTTTTTCCCCTATATTTGGTAAAGATGAAACAAATTTCTTAAAATCTATCCTAAGATACATGGCTCAAATCAATTAGATGTCGGCACTTTCCATGGAGTTGAAGAAATGCCTTTCCGTTCGTTTTCGTTCATAGACGCTAGGGACGAGCCATTACATACGATCTGATGCTTTTGAAGTTTTCTTGACCTCTCCTGTCCTACAACGTTCTAAAGTTGGAGATGAAAATATCAGACTGTCGTTAACTATTTATGGGTATGCGATAGAAGCGATCAGTATATAAGAGACAGAGCATTGCTTGAATTACTAGGATACACAACAACAAAACTAGTAGTCTCCCACGAATGGGATCTGAGGTATTTATGGGTATGCGATAGAAGCGATCAGTATATAAGATAAAAGCTATCAGTATATAAGAGACAGAGCATTGCTTGAATTACTAGGATACACAACAACAAAACTAGTAGTCTCCAACGAATGGGATCTGAGGAGGGTAAGATGTACGCAACCTTACCCCTACCCCCGGGAAGTGCAGAGAGGCTGTTTCCGATGAATTACTAGGATACAAGAAATGAAAACAACATACATTCGTGGTACTCCTTTTTGGACATTACAATCTTACGAACTGCCTTGCAAGACAAAAATCCAATAACCTACAGCACCAAGTGCAGAATAAAGAGGTAAACCATTATTTTTTTTCTTCTGAATTGAATTTAACTTGTAGAGAAAATCTTTTCTTCCATCCAAACTAAAGAAACAAACCAAGAAATACGATAACAGTTGTGATGCACACTGTGAATTTAGTCCTTGTACTTCATCTCGGACAACTTGAAGCCGGGCATGTCAAAGGAGGATGAGAATTTCTCGACGTCAGCCTTGAGTTCTTCAATTTCCTTGTTATTAACAAGACCCTTGTTGAAATCCTTCAAAAGCTTTCCGTACTCCTTCTGGATGTTCAAGGTGATGGTAACAGCCCTGTGGAGGAACTCGGCAATCTGCTCGAAGTCCTTCTCAACCAATCCCCTTGATGTCATTGCAGGAGTACCTGCAAATGGGAACTTCAGTTAGTTAAACATGTCATGAAGGACCTTAACATAATGCATAGAAATAGACTCTTCTTCTTTTCAATGTGAAAGAAGAAGAGAAGAAGTTCTGGGGGAGTTCAAGTTTCAATAAAGGAGGGAGTGAGGTTTGGCTTCTGCTTTTGTATAGAAATAGATCCATTGAACAAAAACATTTAGAAAAATACGATTCTCTCACGTATAACCGTCCATGACCTGAATGCAAAATTGGCACTAAAGACAGTACAAGTAGAAAAACATTAGTGCCAAAGTAAATTTAAGGTGGTTTTCACATTAGTGTCTTATTCCATGTCATTTAAGCTTTTCTTTTTTCCTATCTAATCACCTTATTGACACACTTACAAGTAGGATTACATTATTTTTCATCATTTTATGGAACATGGATCACGTCATTTACTCAAAGGAAATTTTTTCTCATTGACCTTGATATCAAACTCAAGATATTGAAAAGGAAACATACAATTTGCTTCAAGTCATTATTAACTAATCAGATTTACCAGAAGTTCAACGTATAACTTCTCTGGTCTATAAACATTTTCAATACAAATGGTTTATAAAAAGATATCCAAAGTTTTCCAGCTCTTACCAATACGAACACCTCCTGGGGCCAAAGCACTGCTGTCACCAAAAACAGCATTCTTGTTAACAGTAATGTTGGCAAGGTCACAAAGCTTCTCAACCTTGTTACCTGCAAAAAAAGAAAAAGAATGTTCATTTGTATCAATCACTATTTAAATGGTTAGAATACTTCCACAAGATAATGAATAGCAAGAATTTTTACCAGTCAAACCAAGAGGTCTAAGATCCCAAAGGACAAGGTGGTTCTCAGTCCCACCAGTTACAAGCTTGTATCCTTTGCTCATGAGGTAGTTACCAAGAGCAACTGCATTGGCCTTCACTTGCTTAGCATAAGCCTTAAAACCAGGAGTTGCGGCCTGTTTCAGGGCCACAGCAAGAGCACCAATTTGGTGGTTGTGTGGACCACCCTGGAGCGAGGGGAAAACAGCAAAGTTAATCTTGTCTTCGAAGTCATACACCGCATCCTCAGGCTGGCCTTTCTTTGGTGGCTTAGGGCCCTTGCGGTAGAAAATCATACCAGCCCTTGGACCCCTCAAGCTCTTGTGAGTGGTGGTAGTGACCAAGTCACAATATTCAAAGGGATCCGCAGCTTCCTGTTGTCCACAAATAACAAGATTCAGCTTGAAGCACAACAAGAAGACCTAGATCTCGGATTGCATCAATTCAAACGGATGCTAACAATCCACATCAAATCCAAGTGTGGTATCAGAACTGATATCTCAAGAGAAGTTGAAATCATTGGTCCGCATTAAGCCTCATAATGCTCATGTAAAGAGAAATTGAAACACTAGTTGATCCAATTCTAGTTCCCATATCTTAATCTTTTCCTTACTTTAGACCCACTTGTTTAAGAATAATTCTTTATAAACTTCACATGAAATTATCTTAATGAATAATTAATCACAATGAACACATAGATCACAATGCACGGCAGCCAGATCTATAATATTTTCAGGCACTTTACACAAGCAACCGCGCTGATCTAGGATTTGAACTTTATGCATTCTGAATTCTATGATAACGAATTCAAGTGCTAGTAAAACTGGTTCTAAATTTAATATTTTGTACATATTTAGTAAGAAACTTAACACATATCTAGCAAAATGTGTTTAATCAAAATGAACACATAGATCACAAAGCATGGCACCCAGATCTATAATATGATAAGGCACTTTACATAAGCAAACAAGCAAATCTAGGATTTGAACTTTATGCATACTAAATTCTAGGATAACAAACTCAACTGCTGGTAACTAGATTTTGAATTTAATATTCGTACATATATAATTAATTTTTAACACATATATAGATTCTGGGCGAAAGCTACTAGATTTGCCAATGCAGATCTGTGAAACTATCAAAATCCAAATGCAGATCCAAGTAACACCAAAAATGTAAAATGATGAACAGAGCAAAAAAATATACCTGAGCAGCAACAAGGCCACTAATGTGAGCCATATCACAAAGCAAAAGGGCCCCACATTTATCAGCAATTTCTCTAAACCTCTTATAATCCCAATCTCTAGGATAAGCACTACCTCCACAAATAATCAATTTAGGCCTAAAATCCAAAGCCTTCTCTTCCAACCTATCATAATCAATATATCCATTTGTTGAATTCACCTTATATGGCAAACTCTCAAAATAAATCGAAGTAGCAGAAATTTTCTTCCCACCAGAAGTATAATAACCATGAGTTAAATGCCCACCAGATGGTAAATCTAATCCCATAATCCTATCATGTGGATTCAAAACAGCTGTGTACGCAGCGAAATTCGCTGGGCTACCAGAATAGGGCTGAACATTTACACCCCATTTTGTTGGATCCAAATGAAAAGCCGTTAAAGCACGGCTTCTGGTTAGGTTTTCGATTATGTCAATGTATTCATTTCCACCGTAGTAACGGTTACCGGGAATTCCTTCGGAGTATTTGTTGGTTAAGGCACTGCCGAGAGCTTCAATTACGGCGAATGATGTGAAGTTTTCCGATGCGATTAGTTCGATTCCGCGGCATTGGCGGCGTTTTTCCTTTTCGATTAGGTCGTGGATTTCGGGATCTACGGCGGAGAGAGGTTCGTTTCCCCAAACTGAAACTGGATCCATTCGAGGAAAATTGAAAGGGGCAGAAAAAAGTTGGAGAAAGAAATGAAAGAGAGAAAATTAAAGGGCTGTGGGCAAATTGGAGAGGAAGTGGAAATGGATATTTAAAGAGGAAATATTGAGCCAATTGACAATAATGCCCTTGCCAACCTTTTTCTTTTTTCTTTTCCCTTTTTCCTTTCTTCTTTTTTTTTTTGTTTATTCTTTTGTTTCATTTTTTATGGTTTTTTTGTTTGTTTTTTGTTTTTTTTTGTGTGTTTTTGGTTGTGGTTAGGAGAGGGGGCAAGGTAGATCTAATGCTCCAATATACATTCATTCGAA